GGAAGAGTAGGAATTTGAGGATGTTTCTTTGTCAAATCTTTTTTCCTTCCCTGGGTTCTCGGCTCCCCCTTATCGTTACCCTTTCCCCAAAGCTATGGTATCTCCCATTCCAGAACCCCAATTCCCCTCGAAGATCCAAGTCTTTAAAACACAAAAATGGTAAGTGGGGCTGGAACAACAGGAGTGATTCTAGCTATGTCTTCTGGGACTCGTTGCTGGAGGGTGGAGGTGGGGGCTTGGGGGACAGGGGTATTGAGGGAGGGCCTGTGATCCTTCTGTCACCCCCACTTCCTCTCTGGTTATTTTCAGGGTTCTCTGTCTGTACCTCTGCATCAAACACCCTTCCCCTTCTTTTTTCTTCTTCAGGGGAACTTAGCAATTCGGATCCTTTTAAGGTGAGTAGGGGCTGCCCCTCTTAGGTTCCCTCTCATTTTCCTTGTTGTGAGAGTTGGGTGGGATTTGGACAAGTGGGGATCAGAATGCTGACAGCCAGAAGCACTAGATGGGCTATTTAGGTCTTGCATATTTATGTTCTTTCTGGGTCCCAACCCCTCACCCACGTGATGCAAGGTGGGATGGACGGAATCATTGGAAAACTGCTGGGCAGTCCTAAGACCTTCTCACTTAGAAATGGATGAGAGGAGCTGATTCTCCACCCTGACCCCTACCCCCACCACCCCTTGTTTGGCTGCCCCTTCTCTAACCTGTACCTCTGCTTCTCCCTCAGTATAACAACTCAACTGGGATCAGCTATGAGACCTTGGGGCCAGAGGAGCTGCGTAGCCTGCTCACCACGGTGAGGGACAGGGAAAGGGAGGCCCTTGGGAGTGGGCTGGAGCCCCAGGCAGTGGTCAAGGCCCTGGAGGGGGCTGGTGATGTAGCAGTCAGGGCCATATAGTTCTCTCTTGGGAATTAGGTTTCCTGACCAGTGGTGGTCCGGGACCATCTGCTCTGGATGCCTTGGGAACATTTCTGTTTGTGCAGTCTAGCATTTGTACAGAAGAAAATATCTAGCGTCTAGAGTAGGTTCCCCTCCATCCCTCCTTTCAGCTTATATTCCTCTTCCAGCAATGTGGGGTGATTTCTGAACACACCAAGAAGATGTGCACAAGGTGAGCTCAGAACCTAGACAGGGGGCCAGGGGTCCCTCCTGCACACTCACCCTGGGCCTGGGTCAGGTGTATCCCTGGTCTTGAGCAATGGGACTCTCACCCTTCCCCTCCCCTCCTCTAATGGTCAGGCCTTAGGCCACGATCTGAGGGCCCTCCGTTCATCCCTTTCCCTGTGTCCATCCCTCCCGCCTCTGCTGACGGGAGGGTCTTCACCTGAGCCCCTCAGACCTTTCTTGCCTTGTCAGGGTCTGATAATTCTCTCTCCTCCAGGTCCCTGCGCTGCCCCCAGCACACGGATGAGCAGCGGCGAACCGTGCGGATTTACTTCCTCGGACCCTCCACGTAAGTGACCCTCCAAGAAAAGTAGTGGGTTGTGGAAAGTTAGGATGATGATTGGTATCCTTAAAGCCCTTCTTTGGCCCCTCCCCTTTCCAGCGTCCTTCCAGAGGTCGAGAGTTCCCTGGATAATGACAGCTTTGACATGACTGACAGCCAGGCCCTGATCAGCCGGCTTCAGTGGGACGGCTCCTCTGATCTCTCTCCCTCTGATTCAGGCTCCTCTAAGACGAGTGAGAATCAGGGATGGGGTCTAGGTAAGTGATCCAGCTGGGCCCCAGGGGCTCTGTGCCTGAAGTGAAGGAGTGGAGGCACCTTGTGCTCTCCTGCCACAACCCTACCCTTACCCCTTGTGCCTCTTTCTCTTCAGGTACCAACAGCTCCGAGTCACGGAAAACCAAGAAAAAGAAATCTCATCTGAGCCTGGTAGGGACTGCCTCTGGCCTGGGCTCCAACAAGAAGAAGAAGCCAAAGCCACCGGCACCCCCGACGCCCAGCATCTACGATGACATCAATTGACTTGGGTGCACGGGATAGCCTTTGGCTGAGCAGAGCCCTCTCTCCCGACCCCCACCCAGGTGGCATAACCTGGCAAATGGACGGCTGCTGGGGGTTTGGGCTTGGGAAGTTTGGTGGGCCAGGCAAGCAGACGATCCAATTATGCGCCCCTGGGGGGTGTCAGGGTCCTCTGCGATGGAGCACCACCTCTCGGCATGCAGGACTCAGACCTGGACATATTATGCCTTGGACATAAGTTTGGTGGGGAGGCAGTTTTCCTATTTATTCTGTGAGTTACTGGATGTCCAGCTAGGCCAGGGGCCTGACCTGGGCACTATGCCAGTGCACTGCCTGCCCCCCACCCCAGGAACTGGACTAAGCCCTGCCGAGGAGCATTGTGGCTGCCCGGAAGGCTGTGGGTTGGAAGCTGAGCCTGGAGGAGGCCTCCCCTGGCTGCCCTCAGCAATGTGAATGGGTCCGGTGCTTGGAGCTGAGGGGCAGGGCTGGGCGTGTCCTGTCTGTGTGCAGAATCCTATCAAATGCCCCCAATCCCAGGGGTAGGCAGGCACAGCGAGCTGTCTGCTGAGGTGGGCGTCCAGAACTGCCGCCGCCTTCCCTGCCCCTCACAGGGGCAGCCCTTTTCCCTCAGTCCCCATGGGCCTCCTTGGCAGCAGGAGCTGTCTTTTTGTTGTTGGGTGCCAGGAAAGGGCCTCCAGCCTCTACAGCTTCAAGGAATGGGCAAGGGAAGGGTAGGAAGAGGGAGCTGTGTATCAAAATGACTCCCCCCCTACCTTTCCTCCCTGACCCAGGGCTGGTGAGGAGTGGGGCCCCAAGGTGAGAGGGAACGGTGCTGCTTTATTTGAAATGTTTTCTTACCTCATTCCCTGCCCCAGGAAGGGGCCCAGCCTCACCCTCCTGGGGTGGCCCCATGTTCCTCCTGCCTACCCCGCCCCACTGCCCTACTGGGGCAGCCCAGGTTCCCAACTGCTGCTTGCCATCCCCTCTCTCACCTTGACCAGCTTCAGTTCCTCTCTCAATGCTCCTGCCTCCGAAGCCTGCCCTGTTTCCCCTTCCTTAGCGGCTTTTAAGTTATTTATTCTGTACTTGTGGTTTGGGGCTCTGAGGAAAATCCTGATCTTTTACCTCTCCCCTTTTGCTAGGAGTAGGGTGGGAAGAGAGGGTAGTCTCCGTGTTCTGGGTTGTCAGTGGAGGGGGAAAGGGTGTGATGTCTAGGCATTGCTCCTCTGGGGGACTGTCATGCCAGTGTGCCCACCTGTCTGGTCTACATCCTGAAGAGATGTATGGTCCCACCTCCACGCAGGCACCATCACTCCCAGGAGCCGAGCTGGAGGACTGCAGTCTGGGCTGGGAGCAGAGCTGACTGACACAGGGATGGAGTTGACCCTGAGCCATGGTCTCTGGCACTTGCTGGATGTGTCCCCTGCCCTCCTCCCAGGAGGAGCCATCCCACATTTGGGTAGCTAGTACCCAGGACTGGACGGACTGATTTGGGTTAGGGCCCCTAGAGGGTTAAGGGAACAACGGAGATGGGTCTGCAGTACCCTGTCTGGAATCCCCATCTCCCCCTGGGGTGGTTCTGATTGTAGCTGACACCTGGTTACAAATTGGTTTTTAACCCACAAATTGTGATTATTTTTTAAAAAGCTAAACAAATTTTGGCAGGAGTTAGAATAAATCTTGGGGCCTGGGCTCCTCTGTTTTTGACCCTCCACAGCCTTCTCCCTCTAAGGGGAAGCCAGAGGGAAAGGAGGATCTCAGCCAGCATCCAGCCTGCTCCCGAATGAAGGCTTGGGGGTAGTTGAAGGTGAAGGGAGGAAGGCCGTGGGCCACTCTCCCTTCTGAGAGGCAGCTGCAGCTCAGGCCCTAATACACCCTTTCCCCTCTGGCCTCTCCCTTTCCCTCTTCTGGTCAGAGGAGGGAGAAGTGGGAAGTAGTTTGGGAACTGGTTTGTCCACATCCACTTCCCCATTGTTGCTTGGCCCGCCCTCAGGGGAGAGCCCCCTGCCCAGGCTGGGTAAGAGATGGGCTTGGTCCAGCAGGGACCCTGAGGGAGCAAACCCCCTTCCTTCTGGGGAGAGTGTGCCCCCCCTACCATGTAGTTGAACAGGGGCTAGGAGCTCCCCACTCCCCTCCCTCTAACAGCAGGCTGTGTGGGTGTCAATTCCCATCCTCCCCACCCCGGCTAGGTGTCCACCCTGTATTCTATCATGTGTCTGAGTGTGTGTGGGGGGGTTCTGTACTAATTTCCATGGCCGGTGGCTTTTCCTTCCATGCATCACTCCCCCCCGCATGCCCAGGGGCCACCCGCCTGGCATTACCGCATGCTGGGGTCATTGGGGGAGGGGGGTGGGGCTCACGCTGTCCTGTGGTGTTGAGATTTTTATTTTTGCATATATAATCCATCCTGTACAGGTAGCTAACTTTGTAAACGCTGTGTATTTCCCCTGCCCCCATGGCTGCTGGTGTAAATAAACTGCATCTCCTGTTGGTAGCCCAGTCTACCTACCCTCATTACTATGTTGCTAGAGGCAGAGCAAAGCCATTCTCTTAATGTCACAGAAAGAGGCTCCACGGCCACAAAATGGAACTTTATTCAGTCACAGACACTGATCCTCCATCCAACAGCCCCAGAGGCAAGGGCCTGGGGCCCAGTGCTCCATACCCAGAGCTCGTCCTTGGAGCTGGGCAGGGTAGGACACTGGCTGAGGGCCAGAGCTGTCTCTTGCTTACAGCCTTAGGCCTAGGGTAGCAGCAGCTGTGGCCCTGCCTCTCCCAATGCTGGGGGCTTGGCTTGGTGCCCCAATCCCCTTCCTGACTGAGCTCTATAAAGGACTATTTTTTAAAAAAAAAATGCAGGCAAAGTGCTTTGAAAAAATGGAGAATGCTGGAAACTGTCCAGAACATGGAGAACACCCTATTCCTGCTACAGGGATGGAGGGAGAAGGCAGAGGCAGCTGGGTGCTGTATGGAAAGCTGACACGATCTTCCTGCCGGCCTGTATGATTTTAGTCTCATAAGGTGGATATTCCTCCCTGGCAGGCAGCCCTGGATACTGAGGAACAGACATGCAAGACAAGAGGAAGAGCTAGGGCCACAGCTGGGAGGGAATCCTCAGAGCCCAGGCTCCCCACTGAGCTGGGCTGCCAGCTAGGCTTTGAACGTCAGGACCATAAAAGTGAAGGAAGACGACATCCTCATTTCACCTGAGTTGTGCTTGCATGGAGGGAATGTCTGTACCCTCATGGACGTGAAGAGGAGGCCCCGTATCTGCCTCCTGTAGCCTATGGAGGAGGACCTACCACAGCCTTTCCACCCCTCCCTCCCAGGCCCTTGGGCCCAGCTCTGGCCAGGAAAGGGGGAGGCCATAAAGGAGGAAGACCATGCCTTTCATTTTCTCCCTATGTCCTTATCGTCCATACATCCCAAATACCAGAAAGCTGAAGAAGACAGTGACCCCCACCAGGGAGACAGTGGCAGGTGCTGTGAAGAACTGGCGGTAATTGATACGAAAGTACCAGACCACACCCAACAGCACCACAAACACAGGCACCATGAGGCTGCCCACACTGACACCGAGGCTGGGTGGCTCAGTGCCTGAGGAGGGGGCCAGGGAGGCTGAGGGGCCTGGAACAGCTGACCCTGGGGGTGAGCGGTGGCAGTGAATCACACAGTTGTCAGTAATGTTCAGGGAACGCAGTGTGCGGGCTGGGTCCTGCAGCAGGCGGCCCTGGTAGATCAGTTTCATCTGGCTCTCTTGTCCAGGGAAGTATTTACTGTAAGAATGAAAGAGACAGAAGGAAAGACAGAAGGCGAGGAATGAGAAGGCAAACAGGCCTGGACCAACATAGCAGGGCAATGGGGGAAAACTGAAGGGTAGGTTTCTAAGGAAGTATCCCACTCACCCCTAGTAGGGGCTGGACCTGACACTTCCATGCTGGTCCCATGTCTATACCAGTCTCCTCCGAGGCAACCAACAGCTAGGGGCACAGGGTATGAGCAGCCTCCCACTTCCCAGCCCACTCACCTCTTCAGGGCACCCACAGTATCCTCCGGCCTGGCCACAGCCAGCTCCTCGGTGTCATTGAGGAATTTGAGCCGCACATTGATGAGGCCAGGGCTGGGAGGGAGGCAGGTGTGATCCTCAGATCTCAGGGGGGCCTCTGGACTGCTGCTCTCTGGGCCCGCGTGTCTTTTGGGCAGGCCTTGGATGTCAAGCAGATGCTCAAGGCTGGGCTCCACACCACCCCCAGCTCCAGGCTCCCCTGTGGAGTCTCCCCCACCTTCGCCAGCCTCTTCAGCCTTCTCATCATTACCCTCTGATGGATGGGGAAGTTCGGTTGGCTCTGGGGTGCCTTGGCCCGCCACCAGATGGTCCACATGCCCCAGGTGGAGGACGGATGTGTCGCCAGCTGACACAATAGTGCCCAGGAGCTGGTTGCTACTGCTGTCTGCTACGTAGGTAGAGAGCCAAGCTAGGACCAAGGCTAGAATCAGCACCACCACACCTGCCACCACAGTCACCTCATTACCCACACCCTCAATGAGGGTGACATCAGAAAGCTCCATGGCCTGGCTGCTGACTGGGTCCACACTGCAGGAACAAAGGGGGATAGCATCAGTAGGGCATGTGGGGTTGCAACCTGGTTTCTAGTTTGTTTAGGTTCTAAGTGACCCAGCCCTGAAAGAAAATGGAGTTCAGTGTCCAGAAGGGGGAAAAAAACCTTCCTAACTCTGGACCCCCAACTAAAAGCTAAGGACTTACTTACCCTTTGCCTCTATTGTGAAACGCTAGCTTTCCAATTCCACACCCTTCCTCTCTCATATTCCAACTCCCCAGTGAACATGGATCATCAGGAAAACCTTATAGCCTTGTTTCTGCTGCTGCTATTGTTTGTTGCCTTTTTAGTAGGCGGTGAAAAACATTTGCTTCTTTGAGCCCTGAGTCTCTCTAGGATTTCTATCACTTGGAGAAGCCTCTACCGTGGCCTCCGAGAGACCAAAAAGCCTGGAATATTTTATTTTGGGGCGCCTCTAGAGGCGTAGTGCAGCCACTTTTGCCAGATTGTCTCATTTGAACCCTATCTCATTCATGGTCACAGATCTAGGTCCAGATGTCAAGAGCCAAAGAAAATTAATTTATCATCAAAAGCAGAGTCAGATCACCCCAAAGACACAACTCTGTAGGGGCTATCAGCAGACACTATGCTGCAGACATTGTGCCTGCCTCCTCTGAAACTCTTCTGGCAAGCCCTGGGGAGCAAAGCAGGATGGACACCAGGAACAGCATCCTCCTGGGTCACCACAGGTTCACAACTTCAAAACCATTACCTGAGTGGAACTCATTTGGAAAAGATTCCAAAATAGCTCTCACAATCCATACCTCAATCTCTCTTCCTGTGCTGTGTAGGTTCTCCCCTGGCAGTTTCTTAGAAAGCCAGGAAGGATCTTGGCTTGCTCCTTGGAGTACCTACTCTTTCCCTTGGAGAATCTGCTGCTTTCACAGCTGTCCCTGGGCAAATCCAGTCTGATGATTATCATTACCAGACTATTCTCACAGCACCTATAAAACTTCATTACACTTATCATCCTGTCCATCTCTCTACTAATCTTTGGGAAGACAAGGATCACATGTATTTCTCTATGTACCGTAGTGCCCAGTATAATGTCACGGTAGTTGTTCAAAGAATATTTGTGGAATATATCAACATCTGAATAGTTTCCACATCCTTATTTAGTACGTGGGCCCTGGAGTCACAGAAAAAGCCAATTATAATCCCGGTCTTGCCTCTTACTAGCTCTGAAGCCTCGAACAACTTTCTCAGATCCTCAGAGTTCTCATCAGTAAAATGGGGTTAAAAATAGTACCTACCTCATAAGGTTGTTTTGAAGATGACGGAAAATCATTGAAGCAAGATACTTAGCACAGTGCCTCGCACATTGCAATTGTTCAATAAGTAAACGGTAGCAATTATTTATCACCCCCACAACTAACCCCCGGTGGTATGAAGGTTCATGTCATTCACCCTGGTTTACAGAAAAGGAAACTGCGGCCAACAGAGGCGAAGACGACTGGCACAGACACAGGGAACTTTCGTGGGCAAGGGCCGGGCAGGACCCCAGGGCTCCCGCCTCAGAGACCTTTGCTCCCTCCTCAGCCTCTCAGCGACCCTGCCCGCGCGATGAGGAGGGTCCCCGACCCTGCCTTTTCTGAGGCGAAGGCTCCGCGTCTGGGCGGTCCTCTTCCCGCGGAACTGGAGACGGGTCCGTGGGCCCACCCGAGCCGAAAGGCTGCCTGGTCCCGGCCGTTGTTCCCAAGCCCAGTTCTCCCAGTCCGTGAGGGATAGAGTCGGATAAGGGGGTCACAAACCATCCACACCCCTCAAACTTCGGGGCGGAGCCAGGGGGTTGGGGGCGGGGCTTGAGTACGCGGGGAGTCATGGGAAACTAGAGGGGGCTTGGACCGGTACCGTGCCTGGATAGGGAAGGAGGTCCTCACCTGAAATGGCCAGACTAAGTGTTTTGACTCCGCCAGGACGGCCCATGGACTCACCTTTCCGTAGGGGCCGGGGGAGGGGCTGGCTACCCCCGATTCTGTCCAGGGTCCAGTCTCTTCCGGCTTCTCCCGGAAGCTGTTAGAACCAGAGACAGGAAATCCCGCCTCCGCGCCTTGCACTGATGACGCAAGGTTACGTAAGGCGGGCTGACGTAAACGTATTCTTTAAATAAAAGGGACCGGTTTCGCAGCGGAAGGAGGGGCGGAGTCATTGTTGGCGGGATCGTGGCCCTGCCCAGGGAGCCTAGTGGGCGGGGCCTAAGGAGCCCAGCGATGCGGGGCGGGGCCAGGAGGGGGTCGGGAGAGGTGCTTGGGAAAGGGGCGTGGCTCCGCGCTGTAAGACCGAGCGGCGCTTCCCTTTTCCCAGCATCGCTTTCCCGGCCTTGCTCCCAGCCTTCCGAGCTGTTTGGATTTATTACTGCTCTGCGATGCGCACAGAGCTCCGGATTAGCGGAATCAGTAAGGACCGGTCTCTCTGACCTCCAACAATTCAACTCAGGGCTAGTCGGGTGGCAGACAAGGTGACAATTTAGTCACCATCCGGTGCTCCGAGAATGCAGCCCCAGGTAGTGTGGGACCTTGGCAAATAAGGCGAGAAAGCATTTAAAAGAAGACACGGATTCAGCGCAGCCTTAGGGCACAAGAAAAGCAGGAGCCCAAAGAAGACAGGAAAAAAAAAGGTTCAGCTTCCAAGAACTTATCCAGATCTTTGCAATTAAAAATTTTCCTAAAGACGTGCTGGGGTTTTTGTTGTTTTTTTGGTGAAGTATTGACTGAAGCATAAATAATGAAGACAAGGGGAAACTCATAAGCAGGAGCTCAGTGGTTTTCACCAACTGACAACACAGGTGGAACCAGCGTTAAGATTAATAGAAAATGAACCCAGAACCCCCATTCATGTCCTCTTCCAGCCACTAACTTCCAAAAAGTAGTCACTATTCTGACTTCTGTCACCACAGATTAATTTTCTCTGCTTTTGCACTTTGTATAAATGGAATCAAACAGTATGTACTCTGCATAAAATTTACCATTTTAACCATTTTTAAGTGGTCAGTTCACAACGGCGTTAGGTACATTCACAATGTTGTGCATGCATCACCACTATCCATTTCCTGTACCCATTCCTCCCCTCCTCAATTCTATTTTCTGTCTCTATGAATTTGCCTACTCTAGGTATCTCATGTAAGTGGAATCAAACAATATTTGTCCTGTTGCGTGTGGCTTATTTCAGTTAGAATGTTTTCAAGGATCATCCATGTTATAGACCAAATCAAAATTTCATTCCTTTTTAAGGCTGAATAATATTCCATGGTATGTATATATCACATTTTCTTTCTTTTTTTTTTTTTGTGAGGAAGATCAGCCCTGAGCTAACATCCATGCTAATCCTCCTCTTTGTTTTTTTGCTGAGGAAGACTGGCCCTGAGCTAACATCTATTGCCAATCCTCCTCCTTCTTTTTTTCCCCAAAGCCCCAGTAAATAGTTGTATGTCATAGTTGCACACCCTTCTAGTTGCTGTATGTGGGATGCCGCCTAAGCATGGCCCGAGTAGCAGTGTGTGCCCAGGATCCGAAGTGGGCCCGCCAGTAGCGGAGTGCGTGCACTCAACCGCTAAGCCACGGGGCCGGCCCCTGATCTTAGGTATTTTTATACCTTGTTGTGCAATAAAGATGGTTATAGAATGGTGAACGTATCTGTAAATCCTGGGATGCTGCCTTAACTAAATACGCTTGTAGTAAATCCGTTTTATTAAAAAACAAAAAGCGCTCCTTCCCTAACCACTAGATGTTATTCATTTCATGTTTGCCAATCTGAGAGGCAAAAGGGTGTCTGTTCCTTTAATTTGCATGCATTGGATTACTAGTGAGTTTGTACATTTTTCATATGTTATCAACCACTTTGTAAATTAACTGTTTGAGCCTTTTGCTTTTTCTTCTCTTAAAAGATTTTTTTTTTATTTCATAAGAATCCAGAGGTACCCATCTGTAAAAAACTCAAACATGGACCATAAAAAGCCCCATTGGCACAGTCCCTCTCCCCTCCCCAGAGGGGAATTCTTGGGTACCTGCCTTCCGGGCCATTTTCTATTCATCTACAATCCTGGGGTTTGGTTTGGTTGGCTGTACATATTGTATTCCAACCTGGTTTTTCTCCTTAACAACAGTCTTGGAAATCTTTCTAAGGCAGTACACACGCTGGTCACTTGGAATCCCTCCCCAGTTCTTTCTTGCTGTGGGTACTACCCTTTGTAAGGGCTGAATTGTATTCCATAGCATGGATTTGTTTACCACCTCCCACATGTTGAGTTGTTGCAAGCAACTCTGGGATGAATATTCCCGTATGCATTGGCTTTTGTGTAACTGGGGAGCAACATTCAAGGGCCCTGCTAAATCGCCCACCAAAGAGGCAATTTCCTTTCCCACCAACTGGATGTGTAAGAACTTATTTCTCCATATCTTCACGGCACTGCATATTATCAATCTTTAAAATTTCCCCCCATCTAGTGGATATCTTTTGTTGTTTTAATTTGCATTTCCCTAATTGCTGGTGAGGTTGAGCATCATCATTCATTTACTGGACAGAGTGAGTGTCCACTCTCTGCAAAGCACTGTACAGGCACAAGTCAACAATGGTGATGTCATTCCTGCCCTCACAGATCAACGAAATGAAATCTTTTAGCTACGGATGCTTTTTCCAATACTTTGCTTTTTATTTGTGTCTATGACTTGATGTTTTTATAAAACCAAATTTAAACTTTTTCTGTATCCAGATCTGTTAATCTTTTCTTTCATGCTTTTACCCTGAAAAATCTTCTCCTACCCCAAAATAACATACATAATCACATGTATCTTTTGTTTTTTTTTAAAACAACTATCTTGTTGTAGTTGTAACAGAAAAGGCCATGCTCGCTGCGGTCTGCCAGCTGTAGAGGTGTGGACAGCTCAGCACCCTCTCCTGAGAGTGAGGCTCCAGCTTGTGCCCAGGACTAGAGAGGATTTCCCTCTCTTCTCTTGGGCCTTTCGGCACTATGAAATTAAAGCAAAAATGTCATCCAGAAAGGAGACATTGCCGCTCTGCCTAACGAGGTAAAAGACTCTTCATGTTGGTGAAAGAGAATCTCCGCGGATACAACGCTCCACAGAGGAGGGGAGGCTGGGCTGCAGGAGGCTGACCCCAGGACTCCTGCCCCATCTCTACCGCGTGACTCCAAATGGTAATGGCAGTGGAGAGCCCAGGGTCCCTCAGCAAAAGGACAGGGGAACAGGCTGCTGGGAGCCCCCCCTCAGTTCCCTCCCACAGTGGGTACCACAGGCTCGGGGTCTGGCGAGGACCTTGTGTTGCTCTTATAAGCTTTTTTCTATCACAAGAGTAACAGGTGCTCAGTGCAGAAAAGTTGGGAACCACAGAAGAGTACAGGGGGCAAAAAATAAACATGGCGTGACAGGAGTCTCTGCCAAATTCAACCTAACGACATCCACACTTTGGTTCTGTGCACAAATCATTTATTTGCGTTCATAAAAACTGGCTTGGCTTGAAAAGCTTCCTCTTAAAGATGAATGGTGGTACATTTGATTCTGGGACCAGAGGAGGAAGTGAGAGACAGAGGGGACAGCTGGTGGTTGGTCCTCCTGTCACAGGACCTCAGAGACCACGACTTTGGTGACCACTATTTAAGACACCATGCATCACTCGGGGGCGGGAGGAGGGACACAACCATAAATGGGTCCCAGGCATCATGCATTTACTCCTCCCTCAACAACCATTTACTGAAATGCCTGTTCAAGGAATAGAGTCCTGTCTCAGCCTAGGGAGGCAGACACAGGCTCTTAATCAAATAATAGCGATACCAAGGAAGGCTCTGCAGAGATAGTGCTATTGGGCTGAGTCTTGAGGATCAAGTCAGCCTTGACCACGGCAAAAATGTGGGAAGGGTATACCAAGCAGAGGGAACAGCACATGCAAACGTCTGGAAGCAAAGGGGAGCAGGTCATATCCTACAACCGGTAACTAGTTTACTAAGGCTGGATTACAGGAACCTCAGAAGGGAGAAGAGGGGTCAGGAGGCCAGAGAGCTTGGCGAAGGCTGGAGCTAGCAGCTTTGTCTGCCTTGTTGAGTTTTGATTTTAGCCTGAAGGTAGTGAGGAGCCACTCAAGGGCATGATCAGAGTTGTAATTCCCAAAGATCGTTCCAGCATCCTTGCAGAGCATGGGTTTCAAGACCAGTCAGTAAGGTCCTCCCTTCAAGTGACAGAGGCAGGGCAGCTAGCGACAGAGTCTGTCATTCTTTAGGAGGCTGAATGGGTACACAGATGGCAGAGGAGGGGGGGCACCAAGGATCACTGCCTCCTGGCTCAGGGCCTGGGTGGATGGAGGGACAATCATGCACTTACGCACAGGAGGAGGAGGAGGTGGGTGAAGGCTGAGTCTGCAAACCTTCCCATTGGAGAGACAAGCCAAAGCTCAAATGGAGCTGGAGGTCAGCAGTTGGCTCAAGAAGCCAGCGGGGGGGCCAGCCCCGTGGCGTAGTGGTTCAGTGCAAGCGCTCTGCTGCTGGCGGCCCGGATTCGGATCGCGGGAGCGCACTGACGCACCGCTTGTCAGGCCATGCTGTGGCGGCGTCCCACATAAAGTGGAGGAAGATGGGCATGGATGTTAGCTCAGGGCTGATCTTCCTCACAAAAAAACAAACAAACAAAAAAACAAGAAGCCAGCGGAGGGCTGAGCTGGCCCGGAAGGGCATGCAGAGAGGACAAGAGAGCCAGGGACTGGTCCTCTAGGATTGCGGGGGGACGACGGATGGAGGGGGCAGGACAAGCTGTGGGAGCAGCCTGACATGGGGCTCACTGGATGCGCCCCTCCACACGCAGCAGCAGGTAGTCCCTGAGGAGCCGGGGCAGTGGGAGGCGGGCAGCAGCCTGTCGGCAGCGGCTACCCAACTGAGCACGCACAGCCAGCCGGGCCAGGTGCTGCAAGCGCCTTGGCTGGTTCACCATGCACAGGGCTGATCTGTAGAAGGCTTCGTGCTCCTAGGCCAGGAATGGAACAGTGTCAGATGGTCCAATACTCTTGACTCTGCCCTTCCACCTAGGAGTGACCTAGTGGTGGGGGCCCTGGGATTTTGCAACATGCACCCACCCGAGTGTTTGGTGCATTTCAAGGGACTCAGATTCAGCAGCAGAGAGGCCCTGCACAGGTCACGGGAGCTGGGACCACACTGCAAGGCAGGGTCTCAGCCATGTCTGCACCCACCCCTGCTCCAAAGACGCTGGCACAGTGCCCACTGAATCAGAGCTGCCCGACAAATGTCTGTGCTGATGAGGTGAGAGAGAGGCTGTGGAAGTAGAGGTTGTTCTGAGCTGCTAGGGGACTGGGGGACTCCGGAACCCAGAGGTTTCACTTTGCCCATGCTCCTCTGGCCCAGGGGCCTTCCTGCTCCTCCCTCCAGGAAGCCCACCCTGCAGGGATAGTCCTAGGGCTCATCCTTCCTCTCCATCTCCCCCTAGAGCCCAGGAAGGAGCTGGACCCCTGGGGTGGACGTACCTGCCACAGCTCTGGGAACACTGCCTCAACCCAGGTATCACAGGATGGGACACAAGGGTAGGCATTTAGCAGGACTTCCAGGGCCCGAGGGAAGTTGGCACAGTGTTTCAGCATCTAGGAATCAAAAGAGGGTCTCAGGGGCATAGGCCTCTCCCAACCAAGGGGAGACCTAAGTACAGCCTAGGCCAAAGTACGGCTCACACCCAAATCTGGGAGGCTAAATCTGAGTCTCTCCTTATCCTTTTCCATGCCTCAGTTTACCCCACCTTCAAGTGTGCTCCAACCTCCAGGCCCCAGCCCGTTTCCCTGGGAGCTCTTTTCTCCCTTGGACCCTCCCCCATAGTCCTCACTGGTCCTTCCCAAGATGGGGACAGACCTCTGGCCATAGAGGGTGGGCTTTCAGTCTCCTGGCCTCCTCTCTTCCCCAGCAGCACGGCAATTCCAGCCGCAGGCTCTCCCCTACCCCGCAACTGAAGTCCCTTTCACAGGCCCTCCCTGCGCACCTCAGGCTGCACAGGCTGGGCCCCGTAATCCAGTAGCGCCGCGAAGAGGACCTCGGGTTCCCAGTTGGTGGCGTCCTGGATGGCCTGCAGCGCGCAATCCATGGGTGTGTCGCCTGCCCCGTTGGGGACTGCAGCGCAGGCCCCGTGGCGCAGCAGCAGCTCGGCCAGGCCCCCGCAGCCGTTGGCACAGGCGTTGTGCAGCGGCGTGTGCCGCTTGCGCCCGGCCATCCGGGCATCAGCCCCAGCCTCCAGAAGCCGGCGCGCCGCTGCCTGGTGCCGCCGGCCACAGCCTGGGCCCTCGGCCGCCGCGCACGCAGCATTCAGGGCGGTCTCGCCCTGGCTGGTGCGCAGGCCCACGTCGGCGCCGTGCTCCAGGTAGAGAGCCACATGCTCCTCCAGGCCGCGAGCAGCCGCCACGTGCAGGGGCGTCACCTCGCTGTCCCGCGATGCCAGGTTCACGGTGCCTCCTGCCTCAAGCAGCAGCTTGGCGCACCTGGGGGCAGGGCGCAAGGCCCCGAGGCAAATCCTGAGGGGCCAAGGCCTGGCCTGGGAAGCTCTCAGCCTGCTGCCATCCCCTACGCCCTTTCTTCCCACCCTCCTCGCCTCGAGGCCAGCCTGGTGTCCACCATCAAACTCACAGAACAGACAGCAGAGCTCGAAGGCCCATCAAAGTCACCAGGAACATCTTCAGTCTTCAGATGAAAAACTTCAGCCCAGAAAGTTTGCAGTGCAGCCAAGGACACCCAGCAAGTGAGTGGTTACACCGGAATTAATACTCACTGCCTCCAACAGGCCCTCCCAGAGTCTGACCTGACTCCCCAGTCCCACTGGGACTCCAAGGCCTGGTTCTGAATCATTTGTCAGTGGGGTCTTCTAACATTTTGATAGCACACAAAAAAATTGAAAACCCACTACTGTGTACACTATGAAACGGAAAAATTAAAGACTATGAGCCAGAAAGAAAAAGAAATAGAAATCCCACTATTTTCTTCCAGCCTCCACACTTGAAGACCACCTTTGCAGACCACCCACACCCACTCCCGCAAAGGAAGGCACTTGGGGACCCACCCATTCCACTTTCTCCTAAAGGAAACAAACAAACCAAACAACAAAAACAAGTTTTTAGGAAGCACATGTTTCCCAGTCTTGTAGTCCCTAGAGAAATTATAGGCCAGAAGACTGTAGAGGCAAATAGACATCGTTAACCACCATGGGGAAAACCAAACACGTGACAAACTAAATTAATGATGAAACTAAACTGAAAGTCATTTATAGTTAAAAAGCCAGAATGGCAGCCACTGGAAACTCAGGAGCAGATCCATCAACCCCAAGGAAACACTGATGACCAGTGTCCTTCCCCAAAATGGCCGGAATTCCAGCTCTCCTTCAGTGCACGTGTCCAGTGGGCCCTTTGCTCAGTGGCCAAGAGTTGAGTAGCAGCCAGTCATCCATAAACTACTGAATTTATTTCCTCGGTAAATTCTAATCATGGGCTAATTTTGTTTCCAAATACTAAATTTAAATAACACTGAAAAGCTCACTCAGTAGGGTTCCAGTAAGCGGAACCATTCTCACTTCACTTAAAAGGATAAAGTCTGGAGGCCGGCCCTGTGGCTTAGCGGTTAAGTGCGTGCGCTCCGCTACTGGCGGCCCGGGTTCGGATCCCGGGCGCGCATCGACCCACAGCTTGCTGCGCCATGCTGAGGTGGCGTCCCACTACAGCAACTAGCAGGATGTGCAACTATAACATACAACTATCTACTGGGGCATTGGGGAGAAAAAGGGAAAAAAAGGAGGAGGATTGGCAATAGATGTTAGCTCAGGGCCGGTGTTCCTCAGCAAAAAGAGGGGAATTGGCATGGATGTTAGCTCAGGGCTGATCTGCCTCACAAAAAAAAAAAGTATTAAAAAAAAAAAAAGGATAAAGTCTGTTGGAAAGCACACCATGTGCCCATAAGAACTCAAGAAAGGGCTGGAGAATTTGGATCACTTCTGGCTGCATCACTGATCAAGATCTAGCCAGGCAGAGGGCCCCAGCACATGGGCTGTGGAGTGTCTTCCAGGAGCCCTTGACTCCTCACCACTGCAGCCCTGTCTGTGGGCCTGATTTGTAAATGTGCAAATCCCATCATGTAGGGGGTCCAAGAAACTGTTGACCTTAAAAAGGTGGGAGGAGGAGGTGTGTGGAGGCCTCATACTAAGGATGGGAAACAACAGGTTAGGTCTCTCTTGGTGCCTACTTCAAAACAGCTAGGAATTTGGCTACAGAGGATTTAGAGAGAATAGGAGACTACGGCTGGAACAGGATTTTCCCAAAAAGCAATAGGGCTTGGCTCCTGGGCTTAGCTGATGTGACCTTGGACAAGTCACTAAACCTTTCTGAGCCTCAGTTTTCTCATCCATAGAATGAGACCTGTCTCCCAGGCTGTTGTGAGGACCTGGGTATGTGAGGTGCTTCTCCCCTTCTGGCCATGTGAGCTGGAGACACACATACGTACACACACCCTCCTCCCCAAACCATCTCAACCCCTGGGCACCTACTGTAAGGACTCGGGGGCTGTGCAGAGGTGTAAGGGGGTCATGCCCTCCTCAGACAGCACGTTGGCCTTAGCGCCGAAGGCCAACAGCAGCTGCACACTGTCGGTCTGGGCCCGGGCACAGGCCTCGTGCAAGGCTGCCCGGCCCCCGACCCGGGCATCCAGCTCAGCTCCCTGCCGGATCAGGTGGCGGGCGCAGTCGGTGTAGCCTCGGGCTGCAGCGATGGTGAGGGGCGCTGTCTGCTTGGTCTTGGGGGTCAGCACCCAGAACCCTGGAGAGAGCAGGCAGTGTTGGGGGACGGCGTGTGAGACCAGCAGGCAGGGCAGCCTGTGGTGAACAACCGACACTGGCCTTTCCTCAGCACCCTCGGCTGAGCACAGACGCTGTGCCAGGCTGTACCTGTGGAGAAGGGCTCATTCAAGCCCTCAACTGGGAGTGTAAATTGGAACAGCCTTTTAGAACAGTTTGTCACTCTGTAACAGAACATATCATAGATATGTGTATCATAGAAAAAAAATGGTAGCTGCTCTTTAAAACCACAAGGGCAACTAAAGAGGGTGAATCCTGTTAAGGAAACCTCTGGGTCTTTGAGCTGCTGATGGAGTCCTTGGCTCTTCTTGTTCACTTGGGGCTCTGGCCTTGGGGAGAGGGGAGGTATGCACAGGAGGGCCTGGAACTGAGCTTGGGAGTGGCCAAAGAGCAGAGCTGAAGGAGCCAGAGTTTGGAGTTCTAGGATACTCCTGGTGCCAGGAGGGGAGGGTGGGATGGAAGTGGTGAGAGGGAGAATATGAGGTGGAGGGCACCAAGGAAGAGTGGGGAGATGGCTTGATCATGGGACTTGTGTTGGATCTGAATTATAGAAATGGCCAAAGACTTGTTCAAAAGACACAGATGCCTAATATCCAAGTGTAAGTTGTTTGTATTACAGCGAAGTAAATCCCTGGGTTTTCTAAATCTTGGGTAAAACATGTTTTGTTTTTTATTAGGATTGAAATTAAGGCCAAGTTCCATTCGGGGGACAATGGAAATGCTGCAGGATGAGACCAGGATGCCCTGGGTGGGGTCACATCTTTAACAGGTGAAACCAAGCAGGAATTTGGAGCCAGTGGTGGCTGTGAGAGCATTAGCTCTCCAAGGCTTTTGAACCCCCATATCCATGGGTGGGGGTTGAGGCAGTCTCCCATCAATCTGAAGAGCAGAGTGATCTCAGTTGTGGTATTTGGTTTACATGGACAAACCCTTTGGTCAGAAGAGATCCTAAGGAAATCATCTGGCAAGTACACAAAGATGTTCATCATATTGCTATTTAAAATAAATAAATAGGGGCTGGCCCGGTGGTGTAGTGGTTAAGTTCGCGCGCTCTGCTTCTGCTGTCCAGGGTTTGAGTGTTCGGATCCTGGGCACAGACCTATGCACCGCTTATCAAGCCACGCTGTGGCGGGCGTTCCACATATAAAGTAGAGGAAGATGGGCACGAATGTTAGCCCAGGGCCAATCTTCCTCAGCAAAAAGGGGAGGATTGGCAACAGATGTTAGCTCAGGGCTAATCCTCCTCACCAAAAATAAATAAATAAATAAATAAATAGTTAAATAAAAAAAAAAAAGAACTCAATCTACCCAATCTGTTTGGAGGCTAGTTATATAAATCATGGCACACTCATACAATAAAGAATTTATGCACTTATTTAAAATATTATGTGGACTTAAGGTCATTGATATAGAAAGGTGTTACATGAAAAAATCAGGTTATAAAATAACATATGGAGTATAATTTCATTCTATGAAAGAAAAAATATTCATGTGTGGATGTATATTCAGAGAAAAAATTGCATTAGACTATAACTGTTCCTGTGTAATTAATATGTTAACATAACTTTAATTCTGAAAAGACATACGAACCACTAACTATACCTTATCTCTGTTTGGGAGGGAGCTAGAATGGGCAGTGGGAAGGGATGATCTAGTCTATGGTCTGAAGAGAGGGGATGGGACCGAGACTCTCCCCCTCTCCCCACTCCGACCCTCTTCCCTCTCCCTCCTCTTTGCCCCCACCTGGTGCTCCCTACCCTGTTCAGCCGACCAGGCCAGCTGATTGCTCACAGTCTCCACGATCATGTTGGCAGCGTCTTCATCTTGGAACAGAGCTTGGACCTGTTGCAGGTCGCCAGAGAACAGGGCATTGTGGACAGCTGGGTCGCGGCAGGAGCAGCGTGGCCTAGTGAGTTGGGCCCGGGAACTTGGGGGGCACCTTTGGCTCCTGCACTGCTGGGCCGCAGCCCGCCGCCGGTCCTCCCACTCCAGCCATTCCCGCTGCAGGCGGAGAGAGCGCAGTGTGGAGGAGGTGAAGGGGAAAGTCTCCTTTGCCATGGGGTGGGGCCAGGGGTCTGGGCAGTGGCAGCTGAGCAGAGCTGGGTTCCCTCGGCCCAACTGCCACCCTTGCTCTGAGGAGCCACCCTGCCCCCTCACCACTGACCCAGAGAGAGGAGCAGCTGAGGCTATAAATAGGCCCTTCGCTGCTCTGGTAAACATGGTTTGCCCAGAGTCAGGATCCTGGAGCAGAGAAGGTGTTGGGCCAACCCCCAGCCCAGGGCTAGGGCCTGCTCCTGCCCCTGCTGATACCCTCCGATTCGGCCGCTGGCCCTCATTGGAGGCCACCCCTGAACCCCAGGATCTGCATCCACCCTTCTCTGGAGTGAGCCTCTTGGGTTGGCAAGGTCCGAGGTGAGTGAAACAGTCAATCAGGAAGATGGACAGGACCGGGAGGAAGAGCCAGAGCCTCTCTGATGTTGGCTGGAGGGCAGACCCCAGCCCAGGAAATAAGGACAGGTTGAGACGGGGTTGGAGCAGCTCTTCCTGGCATCTGCAGGAATAGCACATGTGCGGCAATGTGCACACGTATGCACAGGGCTTTACGGTATGAAAGTCACTCATATCCATCTTCACTCCTGTGACCATACTTCCTGGCTCACTGAGGTCAACGGTAAGCTTGGTTTTGACAATAAATCATATGATCAGGCTAATTATCACAGTTGAACACCTCTGAGATGGTGGTCTTATGTCTGTTTTATCAATGAGGAACTTAAGGCTTAACAAGATAAAACTACTGGCTCACAGCTTGTGAGGGGTGGAGCCAGGACTAGGACCCCAGTTGGCCTGACTCCATAGATGGTGCACTTTGGCTCCAGCTCCTGCGGTCACGTGAGGGCGAAGGCAGTTGTGAGAGCCTCTCCCCACCCCGCAAGCAGGACAGCATCATCTCCAGAAACCGCCTTCAGTGAGTCTTGTTTCCCCTCTCCCACCAGCTCCTAAAGGGCTCACATGCCTGCCTGAGGAGGGCCAAGGGGTTGACCTCACAACTCTGAGGACTGCAGCTACGGAAACTTGCAAGCCACAAACCCATTCACCCTCAGGACAAAGCGGCTCTGCTTCCAGGAGCCTCTAGGGGGAGGAATAAGGCCATGAAACAGCACCAGCTGGTGCGGCTGTTGGCAGCCAGGGAACGGGAGAGTGGGAGGGAGGCCAGCCCCTGCCTCACAAGCTCTCCTAACCCCGGAGCTCACCCAGTGTGCTGCTGGGCCGGCCCCTCGGCCCCTCAGGGTCTGCCTAGCCCCTTCCCGCCCTGGCCGTAGGCTGTGGCTCTTTTGTCTTCCCCAGCACTGCAGGCTCCTCCTAGCTCCTCTGCCCACTGTGCTTCCTCCCCTCCCTGGCCCAGCAGCAGCCCCCTGCTCAGTTATCTCTGACTTCTTCCTCTCCCTGGTTCCCTCACACGAACAAGTTCCAGCTCCCATTCTCACATTTTCAGTCACCATCTCAAAGCCTTTAACCTGGACCAGCCCAGTTTCCCACCTGGTGCTCCTTCCTCTGGCCACAACCCCCCTGCTCCACTGCCCAAATGGAATGATCTGTCTAAAACGGTTACTACCCTAGCTTGAAAACTTCTGCTGACTTCCAACACCTGCCCTCTCCAACTCAGCTCCAGTTCCTTGGTTTGGCCTCACGTCACGCAGCGTTCGTATCACAGCTCTTCACCCTTCACTGCCATTCCCTATCATGCGGTTCCCTCTGCTTGTGATTCCCTTCTGACTCCTTCCTCAAAGTCCACCTCAAAGGTCACCTGCTCTGGGGGACATCCCTACAGCAGCCCCTACGGTTCCAGCCACTGCTCACTCAGTGCTCCCGAAGGACCTCCATGCACTTTGTGAAGCACCTGTCCCAATGTAGTGCAGACGACAGTCGGCCGTGCTAGATGTGGGGACCTGAATTTATTCAGCTGGGTTTCTGGTACCCAGCAGGGGAGGGCACACAGTAGGTCTTGACATGGTGTTTAGGAGCACTGGCTCGTAGCAGGCTGGCCTCTTCTGTGTAGTGCATTGACTGAGGGCCCCTGTTCTCTCCCAGAGAAACACTCATCTGCCTGCCCAAGTGGGTGGCAGCAGCCTGGACTGTTTCCGGCACTGGTCTTACTCTGCTGTTCACCCACTCTGGCCCCAGCTTCTTGGTGGTATTCCAGGGTGGGGAATCCCAAAGGAGGAATGAGATCATGCACAGCAAGGGCTTGGAGATCCTCAGAGAAAGGCGCCTCTATACATGCAGCTGTGATTAACCCTGTTGGAACCCATTCGGTGTTTTAATTGCCCCGCCAACAGCCTGGCTGAGCACCCACAGCTAGGTTCCCAGGGTTGGGAGCTGGAAAGGCTGGGTGGGGCCAAGAAGGGCCAAGGCGGGGGTGGGTGTCCCCTTCCTCCTGAGGCACAGAACAGTCATGATGTGTGGGGCCCAAGGCTGTGCTGACCTTCCCAGCTTCTCTGTAGCCTTCTTGTCACACAGGCCTGAAGGTGCTCTGACTATAGCTCAGTCCCCAGTGAGACCATGTGCTGTCTCCTGTCTTTAACCTTAACTTCCTAAGGGCAGAGACAGTGACCTTTACTTCAACTCACACATGAGCCCACAGGGAGCCCAGTTCTACTGGCAGGAACAGTGCCAGGCAATTGGATACCCAACCTGCCTTCCGGGAGCTCAGAGCCTGTGGGCCGATGAAGCCCACCACAAGAAACCAAGACATCGGTCAGGACTGTGAGCAGTAGAGACCAGGGCTTGAGGGGGCTGAGTGGGGAAGGGCACTGCAGACCAGGGGCACAGGGTGGGTTAGGTGCAGGAAGACCACACAGCGTAGATGAGCTCTGGCCCAGAGCTAAGCAACATAGGCAGAGCTAGGGAGTTAGTGGGTGGAAGAAAAAGAAGTGCATGGTCTGCTCAGGCAGGAAGAGCAAATGGGAGTGTGAAGGGGCAAGGGTGCTGGTGAAGTATCCCCTTCTTCCTCCTGGGCTTGGAACACAAAAACCTTCTAGAACAGGGCCCTGCTGCAACCAGCAGCCAGCTGAACATGGAGTTCTTAAAGCACTTGCTCACTTCAGCCTTAACTGGGACCCATGGGACCAGCTTCTCTTTGGGAAAAGGGAGATTAACGCCTTCCCCCAGGGCAGTGCCAAGCCCATGAGAGGCCCCGACTCCCAGGTGCTTAGTGAATGCTGAGGCAGAGGCAGGGGAGGCTGGCAGTCAGCCTGGGGTCTTGAACCTACACCCCCTCAACCAGAAGTTGGGACAATGTTCCTTTCTTCCCTTCATTCTAGAAAGGAAAACAAGGTTGGCAACTTGGTATAATTAGACCTTTTACACCCCGCCCGTGCCCCTTGTCCAACTCTGGTCTGAAGGGTGGTAAAGAAGCTACAGTGACGAAGAGTTGCTTGGCAACAAAATAAATAAAGTAGTACTGGATTATAACCCAAAGTATAAAATAAATACCCATGAGTCTGTGCTGATACAAAGGAATGACTGAATAAAAAACGAGGGAGAATTGGGGCCGGCCCAGTGGCACAAGTGGTTAAGTGCACATGCTCTGCTGCAGCGGCCCAGGGTTCACTGGTTTGGATCCCGGGCGCGCACCGATGCACTGCTTGTCACGCCATGTTGTGGCGGCGTCCCATATAAGGTGGAAGAAGATGGGCATGGATGTTAGCCCAGGGCCAGTCTTCCTCAGCAAAAAAAAAGAGGAGGATTGGCAGATATTAGCTCTGGGCCAATGTTCCTCACAAAAAAAGAAAAAAAAAATGAGGGCGAATAGACCCATGAGGGCGAATCTCCCATGCAGAATTCCAAATAATCCACATAGATATTCTGCCCTTAAGGAGGTGGAACATAACTCCTCATTCCTTACGTGTGGGCTGCACATAGTGACTTCCTTTCCAAGAGTACTGTACAGAAAGGGAGAAGAAAAAAGAGTCACTTCACAGTGGAGAAACCTGACAAACCCTACCTCTGCTAGGTGATCAAGGTCAACATCAACGGTTGATATGATGTGATGAGAACAGCACCTTACCTCTGTGGTCTTCCTCCCCAAAACACATAACCCCCGTCGAATCATGAAAAAACATCAGACAGATTCCAGTAGAGGGGCATCCTACAATATGCCTCACCTGCACTCCTCACAGCTGTCAAGGTCATAAAAAACAAGGAAAGTCTGAGAAACTGCCACAGCCCACAGGAGCCTAAAGAGACATGATGACTAAATGTGACGTGGGCTCCTGGAACAGAAAAAGGACATCAGGGGAAAACTGAGCAAATCCGAGTAAAGTAAGGAGTTCAGTTAATAATAATATATCAGTACTGGTTCTTTAATTGTGACAAATCTACCATACTAATATAAGATGGTAATAACAGGGGAAACTGGGTGTGGGGTATATGGGAACTCCCTGTAATATCTTTGCAATCATTCTGTAAATCTAAAACTGTCTAAAAGAAAAAGTTTCTAAAGAAAGAGAGAGAGAAAGCAAACGAATAGCTTGGCTCTGCCCTGGCCAAAGCACCACGGGCAGGACAGATAGGACAAGGAGCAGTGAGAGTGGGAAGGAGAGGGAGGTGGGGGAAGCAGGCAACTGCTTTATTTCAGAACAAGGCACCACAGCCACACCCCTGCCCCCGCACCCGGCAGCCTGGGGCACAGGTGAGCTGAGCAGCTACAGGTCTCAGGAGACAAAGCAGAGGGAAATCTGAGTATGTTCCTTTGCTGTCCAGAGGGACAGGTCGCCACTGCTGTGGTGTGGCTCCTTCAGCTCCTCAACTGTCCAGGGAAGAGGGAGCAAAGGGACTAGGCTCAGTGTCCTCTAAAGTCAAACTGAGGTGGGAGCGTGACACACCTTCCCTGTTGGCAGGAGGAGAGGATGCACCCAAGGGCTTGGAGGACAGCAGGGCTGGAGGGCATTCCTGGGTCAAGTTCTGGTAAGCCAAAGGAAAACCCAAAGTGAAGGCAGTGCAGAATCCACGGAATGTTCTCGGGGAAAGCGTCCAGGGTGGGAGCAACCACAGAAGCCCTGAGCTTTGCCTATGCTCCAATGGTGCTGGTCTTCCTCTCTCCCTCAGACACAGTCAGACACAACCAGAGCCTTGCTTGGGTGCTGAGAGGCTGCCTGCTCATGGTGGGTGCCCTGCCTCGGAGCAGTCCCAACTGCTGGTCCCACAGAAGAAGTCCTCAGGGAGCTCACTCAGGAGTCCATCCAGGTCATCTGCAGGGGGATGGAGACAGTGGGTAGACTTAGTGGTAACATTAGGGCTCCATGTGCCTCACAGGTCCAAAGCTCCTGCCCTTCACAAGGGCCTGGACCTGGCGTCACAGTCGGGGAGGTGGCTCCCCCTGGGCAGTGGTACCTGTGCTAACGGGCCTGAAGCTGACCTAACTTCCATCTTCCCTCTGCTCCCCACATACCCACACACAACAAAAGGCAGGGGCAAAATGCCTGGGCCCTTCTGCTGAGAGAGAGGCTCCCCCTGGGTCTCAGTGGTTTCTCTCTTTCCATCCAGAGGCACAGTGCCTGAGCAGAAAGGCTTCAGAGGTTCCCCAGTGCAACCCTCTCATTGGACAGAGGGAGAAACAAGGCTGAGAAAAGCCATTAGATGCGTTCAGAATCACACAGTTCATTAATCCGGTTTCTTATCTGAAGAGTGGGAGACATCACCCGCTTCCCCAAAGTGCCTTTGTGGGTGTAGGGAACAAAAGTAACTATTCCTGACTGCAGTTCTCAGACGGGGTGCTTATGTCTGAGAACTTGGAAATAGAGCTGACCTCAGTAATCCCTGTTGCTACTATTATTAACAACAGCAGCTAACACTTACTGAGTGCTTGCTCTGTGCCAGGCACAGGGCCACACGTGTCATACTCATCACTTCATTTACGTCCCACAGTACCCCTTCATAGGGTATCTCATGGTAGTCCTGTTACAATCCTCACTTTACCTGAGAGAACAGGGCTTAAAGAGGTCAAACAACTTGCCCAAGGTGAGCCTACTCAGGCTCCATTTGACGCCGGAACCACGGCTTCCAAGCAGAAAACTCCTGCTTAATGGATGGGATCAGGCAGCCCAGGAGTAAGTCAGACTGGAAACTACACCTCCGAGCCTAGCTCCCAGTCTGGCACAGGGCACTCGAAAAACACTGCTGCTGGAAGGATAGAAGTCAGTTTGGGGGCATTGAAATTTTAATTACAGTGACCAGCACTGTACTCAGGGAAGTAGGACTGACATTTGCCCCTCACTAGCTACACTGTGACTGTTTGGAGATACACTATGTTAAATGGAGGGGAATGTGCAGTCAGTGTGGGCCTAGCAAACTGGGAATCAGAGTAAGAATCAGTATTTGTGTCTCCAAGCCCTGTCCAGCCACCACTAGAGCTGCCTGCTTGAGAGGTCTGTCCCTACAGTGGAGATGTGACACCAACCACAATATTCTACAGGCAACTCTCCTCGCTCTTATTCCATGACCACCAGCAACCTTCTGATGATGGTTTGGCATGTCATCAAGCTTACTTACAAGGAGAGAGTACAAGATTCCAGAGAAGATTCCAGCTAAGGGGTAGATACTTTTTCATAGGATATAAATAAATGGGCTTTGTGGTTTATCCGTTGGTTTACCGCGAATTTGGTTAATGTGGAGACACCTACCCATAATCCCATGAAATTTGGGGCCAGGCAGGGTTGAATTTATGGAAGCAAAAAGCTAAGGACCAGACCTGGACTGTGTCAGCTTCACCTGGTGATGCGGCCTCCTGAGGAACAAGTTGGCCTTCCCCTAAGGGGTCTGTATTTGGGCCCCTCAGGTCTGTATCCTGGTCAAACATGGATGTTTGACTCCTCAGCACTGCCTGGAGGGCCTCTGAGCTTAGTCAGGATGGGAAATCTCTCTGTGGTCTGGCCATCAGGCCACAGAAGACTCAAGGTGTGGCACAAGGATGTACCAGTCCATCTCCTCCTGTGGCTAACAGCACTTGGCCTGGAAATGGGGGAGACTTGTGGATCACACTCTATTTGCTTTATGTGGCCCCATCACACTGCGAATTAGTTTGTGGCCTGCAGCCTTGCCAGAGAAGACATCACATCTGATTTCTATAAGATTCCACAAAATCCAAAGATTCACAGGAGGAACAAATTGCAGCCAGAAGAAGCTGGCTGAGCTTTTTTTTTTTTGAGGAGGATCAGCCCTGAGCTAACATCCATGCTAATCCTCCTCTTTTTTTTTTTTGCTGAGGAAGACTGGCCCTGAGCTAACATCTATTAGCCAATCCACCTCCTTTTTTTTTCCTCAAAGCCCCAGTAGATAGTTGTATGTCATAGTTGCACATCCTTTTAGTTGCTGTATGTGGGACGTGGCCTCAGCATGGCCGGAGAAGTGGTGCGTCGGTGCGCGCCCGGGATCCGAACCCGGGCCACCAGGAGCGGAGCGCACGCACTTAACCACTAAGCCACGGGGCCGGCCCTGGCTGAGCTATTCAAGAGGAAATAGAAGGAGAACTTCTTTTGCTCCTGGGTGGGCTGACTGCCTTACCAGCTTCTGGGAGTTCTTCCTCAGGGGATGCCTCTGCCTCTGGGTTCTCTGCTGTTCTGAGGCCTTTCCCGGGCTTCACAGTCTCGTGCTGGAGGCTGCCATGGAAGCTTCCTGGATCCTGGGGACAGAGGATCTGGTTACCAATGCCTGTGCCCTGAAATCTGTCTGGAAAGTACCATCTCCACCTAGACAACCTCAAAGAAAGAGATGGGGACTCAGAAAAGATAGGACTGAGGAGTGTGGCAGGGGCCAGTCACCCAGGCCCATGCTGTGGGGAGGGAGCTAAAACGCCAAACACCTCAAACAGCAGAGAATTAAAAAAATAAAACAAAAACAAAACTTTTTTGGCTGATTTTCTCTCCTAATTCTGTTGGTATCTGATGTTTTAAGGAATCTATATAGCTGGAGCAGAGAGTGAAGAGGCCATTCAGAAATACATTGAGGAGTTAGCCTGGGATTAAAAATTAGCTGTTGACAACCTCCAAACTAGCTAATATATGATACGTTATTAAAATTAGTAATTAAGGGCCGGCCCAGTGGCATAGCAGTTAAGTCTGTGTGCTCCACTTTGGCAGCCCGGCGTTCACCGGTTCGGATCCCAGGCACAGACTGATGCACCACTTGTCAAGCCATGCTGTGGCGGCGTCCCATATAAAGTAGAGGAAGATGGGCACAGATGTTAGCCCAGGGCCAATCTTCCTTAGCAAAAAAGAAGAGGATTGGCAATGGATGTTAGCTCAGGGCTAGTCTTCCTCACACACACACACACACACACACACACACACACACAAAAGAAAAGAAAACTAGTAATTAAACCACTAACCATGGTTATCCCTAGGGAATGGGAGTGGGGAAGGGTGTTTTACGTTTTGCTTTATTCTGTAGCATTTCAATTTTTTTCAATAAGTATGGATGACTTGAAATTTAAAAGAAAAATAGAGATGATTTTTTAGATGTGGAGGGATTTTGAGAGAATGTGGAAGGTTAAGGGGGAAGATGAGGGAAATGGAAATAGCAACTTAGAGCTAAAGGTGTAACTTGACTAGAAGTCATCGAGTCTAACCCACTCATTTTATAGATGAAACAACAGCAGGGGAAGGGACAGGACTTGCCCAAGGTCACATTACAAATTACCAGCAAAGCAGGAACATGGCCCAGGTCTCCTGAGCCCCAGACCAGGCCATGACAACAGCCCAGGATCCCAGGGAGGGTGGGGGTGGCCACAGAGGGGATGCTGTGTGCCAAGTCAAGGTCGGGCTCTGCACTCTCACCCTGGAGTAGAGCTGCCTGGAACCCCAGTCTCCTTCAGTTCCCAAATGGGGTGTCCCTACCTCAGTTCTGTGTGGGTGCCCCCTCACCTAGCAGAGGCAGAGGCCAGGAGGGAAGCCACAGAGCAAGTGCTGGCTCCCCTACAGGCCATTTGTAGCTCACTGTTCTCTGCACTGCCACCTGTAGCAGATCTGACCCTCAGTCACTTACTGAGAGCCACCACCCCCTGGCAGACCCTAAACTTGGTTAGTTCTCAAGTGACTCCTATCCTCTCCGACGTTCAAACCTGACATCAGACACTCAGGGATCACCAAGAAACCAGCTGCTCCTCTAGGTCCTGTTACTGTGCCATCTGGCAGGCGGCTAGATCAGGGACAGGAGGAGATGGCCCTGTCCCCAAAGGCATCTCTTCATCTCAGGGCAATTGCCCCCTTCACACCTCTACTCCCCAGGGTGGAAGAGGAGAAAACATCAGACGATCCAGGCAGAAAGCAGCTCTACCAGTCCCCATTCCATCCTGCTCCTCTTACCTTGGGGAAGGGCTGCGATGGCTTGAAGAAGTTCCCATCCCCAGAATCTGGGCTGTAAATATGGACCAGGTTGTTGGGCGTCACATTGAGGTAGTGATTTCGGAGTGAAGGAGAAAACACTCCAACCTGGAGTCAAGGAAGGTGAAGGTAAATGCCCTGACAGAGCACTAGGTGCCGCCAGATGGCCACCTGGTCCCCACCTGCCTCTCCCTTGGTGGCCTCTGCACCAGGGTCACACAATCACTCCTGCCCCAGCCCTGGTGCCAGAGTAGAACCACTTACCACACCCTCCATCCCCATCCATCCCCAAAGACTGGGAGTCAGGCCTGTACTCAGCTCCAGTAAGCCAGGGTCTAGCACCAGCCCAGTCACTCCTTACCTGAGTACTGGGAGGGAAGGCAGCCAGACAACTCGGGGGCCTTCCCTAGGGCAGAAGGGGTAGAGAGCAGGTCTCTATCTGGAGCTCCCCCTACCTGCTTTAGCACCAGCACCGAGCCAGGCTTCAGCTCATTCTGGCGGGTCTCAAGCAGCAACCTGTGCACTGTGCCCTGTATCTCTCCTGCAAACACCACATGGCTCATCAGTCTCAGGGTCAAGGACAGCACAGCAACTGGTTTGGGCCCTGGCTGGGAAGTGGGCTGCACAATGCCTCAATTTTACCATCTGCAAATGGGAGGGTGACTTCTCACCTCCTGACCTCAACAGAGGCCACTCATCAGACACTCCCAGGACCTAACTCCTCACCCGTAGGGTCCTTGAAAACCACACTGGCGTCCACTGTGCTCCGAGTCAGGGACTTGACCATCACTGCCATGTTGGGGACCTTGTTCCTGGGAAGCTGCTTCAGGGCTGCCTGGTTACAAGGAGAGGCATTTGCTGAGCCAACCATGTCCCACCTGTAAGGTTTCCTAGTGTGCCAGGGCACACCAGGGGGTGGGAGGAGGGCAGAGTACAGGTGTGGTGATGATCTTCCTTTGTGGAGGGCAAAGGGGCAGTTTAAAGGGCTCAACCCATCTCCTTCTGGCAGACCCTAAGCTGGCAGGTCCTTCATTTCTCTGCTACTGCCTCCTTTCTTTTGTGTATGTTTTTATGTAGCGCTCCATCATGGCAGGCCACAGGCAGGGATATGTTAGTACATGTGCAAGCACATGTACTAACATGTGCTTGCACATGACCCTTGACCTCTGGGGAACTCTAAGTGTAGCAGTGTGCTTACCCCACCCATCCAGGGCCTAGATGTGTAGAGACACGTCCATAACTGACGCTCACTTTCTACCTGTGCCCAGTACTGTGGATGGTAGTGAAAAGGTAGGTGAATAGGAGATACAACCAAAGGGACTTCATGCTGCTGCTCAGAGACGGGCCTGGGGTCAGAGGGAGCAAACAGACAGCCCCTTTCTGAAGGTGGAGTAGGGCAGCAGTGAAAGGGTGAAAGGAATAAAAGTGGTCTTCCCTTTGGGCCTTGGCACCCAGGACCCTTACCTTCCGCAGCACCATGACGATGCTGTAGGTACAGAGGAAGCAGGTGGGGTCTCTCTCATCCAGGCCCAGAGCAGATTTCATGGTCAGCCAGGGCCCTTGCCCAAAATCCTCCTCCACTGATGCCTGGGAACTAGTAACGATCTGGCACCACAGAGCAGAGGGGGAACCTGCATTAATGGGTCCACCTTGCCCCAGACCTTGACTGAAACAGGATGGGGGTGGGGTGAAGAGGAAGGGCGAATTCCCTGTAGTGTAGTGGCCACAGTCTTTCCTTTCATTTGTCTCCAAGCTCAGAAAATGGTAAGTTGGGGCCGGCCCTGTGGCGTAGCGGTTAAGTGTGTGCGCTCCGCTGATGGCGGCCTGGGTTCAGATCCCGGGTGCGCACCGATGCACCGCTTGTCAGGCCATGCTGTGGCGGCATCCCACATAAAGTAGAGGAAGATCGGCACAGCTGTTAGCTCGGTGCCAGTCTTCCTCAGCAAAAAAGAGGAGGATTGGCATGGATGTTAGCTCAGGGCTGATCTTCCTCACAAAAAAAAAAACAAGAAAAAGAAAATGGTACGTGAAATCTTGTTACATATCACATCTTTCACTTAGCAGCAATAGCAAAGGTGCTCTTTATTTTATTTTATTTTAAATCAGGTCCTGACTTTACATTGAAGCAAAAGGCTATCCATGCTTGTCTCTTGTAACAGACTTGAAAAGTCTTAGGGCTAGGGAGCCCTCACATACATTTACAGGCTTCCAGAGTGCCTTAGTTCTTTTTTTTTTTTTTTTAATTTTTAATTAATTAATTAATTTATTTTTCCCCCAAAGCCCCAGCAGATAGTTGTATGTCATAGCCGCACATCCTTCTAGCTGCTGCATGTGGGACACGGCCCCAGCATGGCCGGAGAAGCCGTGCATCGGTGCGGGGCAGGGATCTGAACCCGGGATGCCAGCAGCGGAGCTCACGCACTTAACCGCTAAGCCATGGGGCCGGCCCAGCCTTAGTCATTTTGAAACAGTCATATTTTATTTGGGATGCCTCTGGCTTTGACTATTAACCTTCTTATAGTAGAATACGCTTTGAATCCAGGTGAGTATTTACTGCTCTGGATCTGAAATGGACTAGTGGATCTGCAGAGCTGCAGCAAAGAGAAAAAGTGCTAGAGAGAATTAAAAGTAAAAGTGGTTCTGAGGGCAGAGCAGGTCAACCAGAATCCCAGGGAGGAGGGAGGCTGGGTCTCACCCACCAAAACGGAACCCACTGGAGGCAAGATGAAGGCAGTTCTTTTCCAGCTCAATTCCCAGAAACCTGAGAGGAAGGGTTCCTGAGATACAAATTCCTAATATGTATTACACTCTCCTCCCTGAGGGAAGATGGAGGTAGCTGGGCCTTTCTTTCTTAGATGGGAAAGAAGGCTGGACCCATGGCCTCGGTTAACGCCTGGTTGGCATCAGGCTAGGCTTTACTTTATGTCAGTAAAATGCCACCTCCCCAAACTGCCTTCCCCAAATTCTCTTTGGTGTGTGACCCCCAGGAACAGGCCTAGCAGCATCGACTCCTGATTCTTAACTCCTGAAACATGCAGGGATGTCTCTCCCTCTTCAATGATGCTGGGAAGTCAACATTTGCACAGAAATAGTTACCTCTGTCCGGAATTTAGCCAGAGCACCATGAGTTGGAGTCTGGGGCGTAGAGACCATGATCTCCTCCAGATTTTTCCCACTGTGCTAGAGGGGGAGAGAAGGAGAAGGCGAAAGCAAGCTCAGCAGCTGTTATTTACAAGTACAGCTTCTTGTCTGGGTTACATAATGAGTTCAGGAAACTATCAGGGACAATTAACACATTACATCTCTCCTAACGAAGTCTCAGGAGCCTCGTTGGCAGCTCAAAAAAGACGCTTTGGGATCGTTTTGGGAATGTGAGGAAGCTGGAGCAGGCCCAGGAGCAAAACCCAGGGTTTCCTGAAGGGGGCAATGACCCTAATAGAGAGGCTTGTGATATGCAAAGGGGCAGCTTTCCCCCAAGTCCCTTCTCAGGGACCTAACCCTTCACTCCAGAGATCCAGCCCAGGAGGAATGTAGATGGCCTCCTCGGATTTCTCTTAAAGTGCTAGGGAAGAGCAAGTAACAGGTAGAAGTTGTTTTAAACATCCTTAAAATGTGAGGAGAGGGGTGCACCTATCACAATCAGACCATATCCTCAGAGTCCAGTTCTCTGGGATCTGATCCAAGACTAGGCTGATGGATCCTGTCTCTCTACCACTGCTGAAATCCAAACTCTCAGCACAGCCCCAGCCTCCCCACGTTGACCCCACCCACCAGCCACATCCAAGAGCACTCATGCCTCTGTGCCTTTGCACATGTTCTTCCCTGTCTTCCCACTGTTGGAATGTCCTCCAGAGCACAGCCTTCCAACACACACCAGTTAACCTCCTATTCATCCATCAAACCCCACTCAGCAAGTTCAAGGAGCCCAGTGTCTCCTCAGCACCCAGGGAATGACCTCTACTCACACTGTGCATTTTATGTATAATCACTTGTTTACATTGGCATCTTCTACTACACTGTATGCTCCTTAGGACAGGAACTATTTCTATTTTAATCTCTATATTCCCAGTTCCAAGCAAATTGCCCAAAACATACAAGTCCTTAGCAAATATAAGTGAATGCAGGGGGCCGGCCCCGTGGCTTAGTGGTTAAGTGCACGCGCTCTACTCCTGGCGGCCCAGGTTCGAATCCGGGCGTGCACCAACGCACCGCTTGTCCCGCCATGCTGAGGCGGCATCCCACATACAACAACTAGAAGGATGTGCAACTATGACATACAACTATCTACTGGGGCTTTGGGGAGAAAAAGGGGAAAAGAAAAAAAAAAATAAGTGAATGCATCTTCCTGCTCCAGTGCCAGCAAATAGTAGGTGCTCAATAAATGAATGAAAATTGTCAAGTTCTCAGAGCCTTAAGCACCTCTCTCATGAGTGGTTTTTCAAGCATTCAATTCTTCCTTCCCACATCCTCTGACTTCCTCCACAGCTTTGAAAACCTTCCCTCTCTGCACTTCCTTCCCTCATTCCCCCCAGGAGTGAAGATATTCCGGGATTGGACAGTGCTGGAACTCTGCTTCTCTCTCTTGCTCCCCAACGCGCTAGATAGCTCCGGCTTCTGTAGAGAGAAGCTGTCACTCACCTGGTGAGGTAGGATGCCTGCTGGGCCAGGGAAGCGGCGTGTTTTGGTGCGGGTAGAGGTGCGGGTGGGCCGCTGGGGTGTCCGGTTGGCAGCAGTGACCAGCTGCACCAGGTGGTTGGTAACGATGGGCGTCTGCAGAGCTGCTTGGGGAACCAGGGAGGAACGGGGACTCTTTGGGGTGCCGAAAGGAGACTTGACAGAAGACACTGGAGCTCGGGGTCGTATGGGCCCCTGAGAAAATAATCCAGAGATAGTCCTTGAGGGAGTAGAACCGCTTGAGTTGGGAGTTCGTAGTCCGGGAAAACGAGGTTTGCCACTTAAGCAGGCACTTGGAGACTGGAATGGCTGACTGGGGAAATGATTTTGAGGGCTGCTCTGAACAGGCCCGCCAGCAGCTTGGAGAGGCTGGGGTGCTCGAAGAAGGGGACTTTGGGGACAGACTTCCCTGGGGGGTTGCTGAGCAGGCACTGTTGAGGCAGTTGGCATAGAAAGGTTACCCGCAGCACCAGGTCTCAAGCGGGGCTGTGGAGTCCTACAGTGGACACCAAGATCTGGAGGCTCATTCCAGGCTGACATGACACCAGTTATGTGGGTGGCAGGCAGGGACCCCTTTCGGCAAGATCTGCTCACATCAGCTACCCGGGCCTTTTTAGCTAATACTGAGTCCTCCTGCTGCCAAGTGGGCAGGATTCCTGTGGCCTCACTGCTGACTCCAAGTTCCAGTTCCATGCCAGGCCCCTCCAGCTCCAGGCTTGCCAGGACCTTATCAAATTCATCTTGTTCAGACCCCTCGAAGCCACCAATCACCTGCTGTTGGCTCTCAAAGGTGAGCAGGGGGTGAGAGACTGAGAACTGGGGTCTTGCTGGCTCTTTGAGCACTTCTGTCAGTGTCACTTTTCTCTGATTGCCAGTCCAGCTGCTCGAAGTCGAGACAGGCCTTAGGGGGGCTGTTGCTGTGGAAGGTGGACCCCCGGAGGCCTTAGGCATGCTGGAGGTAGGAAGGCGGAGTCCCAGGGCTGGCAGGCCCAAAGCCTCTGAAGGAGCAGTGGAACATGCTGGCAGCTGCCCGGAAGACTGTGCCTGCACAGTCTCCTGTGGCCTGGAAGAGACAGGTCTCAGGCACCCAGCATTCATAGGCCGTGAGCCAGCAAACTGGTTCTCTGCATCCTCCACGGCAGACAAGAAATCCTACAAACAAGCAGAGACAGTGGGTCTTGGCATCTGGAAATCAAGAAACATTCTGCTTTTACTGTTTCAGGTATGTGGTGTGTATGTATGTGCAGATACATACAAGCAAGAAACCAAGGTGTGAAGGGTAATGGCGGAGTCTCTCACCACCTTTGACCTTGCCCATGAGCCCACCACCAGGCTTCTACCAGAAACATTCTAAGGTAAGTCTTCAGGTAGCTTCTCTCTTTCTTCAGTCTCTGGTTAGGGGGATGTCTGGGGTGGGCAGCTGAGGAGCAGCAGGAGAAGCAAATGTACCAGGGCACCAAGGAGTCAAACAAATCACCCAAGGTCACACACCCATCTCAAGGAAATGCTTTCTGGTGTCCAGCCTGTGCAACAGGGATCTATCCAGCTGGTCGTGCTGCCTGTCCTCACCCCCACCACACACATACACACACAGCCTTCAGTAAGCCAGAGAGGACCTGGATCCAGCAAAATAGGCAGAAGTTAAATATAGCTTTTCAGGCAAGTTAAATTAAGTATGGATTCCAGTTGGGAAGCAAGGTGAGATTGACACCTTCAAGAGCAACAGACCTGTTCCGAGGGTGTTTTTGAGTCAGAACTGCTGATTTAACTGACAGGAAGGTCCCCTCCACCTCCACCACCTGCTGCTGCATTGGAGTGTCTGGGCTAGGAAAGGTTTTTTCCTGCTTTGCGTATTATCAGGAGAGCAGCGTACTCCAGTAGGACTACCTTAGGACTTAGCAATAATAATAATAATATCAGAATTACAGCAGCAATAAAATCCTGATGACCCTGGGGGTGGATGGATCCCTTTTTTCCTGAAGAGCTCACTCTCAGACATGATGTCATCTGCCTTGGGAAGGGAGAAAGGGACTGGTCATGGAACAGAAACTTGAGTTCTCAGAGTCCTTCACTCTTAATTCCATCACCAGCCTAGCAGTCCTACCAGCACCTGGTAAAACCCAAGAGGGTCACTTTTTTTTTTTTAAAGATTTTATTTTATTTTATTTATTTTCCCCCCCAAAGCCCCAGTAGATAGTTGTATGTCATAGTTGCACATCCTTCTAGTTGCTGTATGTGGGACTCGGCCTCAGGATGGACAGAGAAGTGGTGCCTCGGTGCACACCCGGGATCCGAACCCGGGCCACCAGCATCAGAGCGCGCGCACTTAACCACCAAGCCACGGGGCCGGCCCCCAAGAGGGTCACTTTAACAGTCACTTTTTCAGGCTGTAATTACACATCTCCAAAGCTGAAAGACAAGGACATATTTCCTTGACAAAGCTGGCAAATGTTTTTTTTTGAATTTTATTTATTTATTTATTTATCCCCCCCCCACAAAGCCCCAGTAGATAGTTGTATGTCATAGCTGCACATCCTTCTAGTTGCTGTACGTGGGACGCGGCCTCAGCATGGCGGAAGAAGCAGTGCATCAGCGTGCGCCGGGATCCGAACCCGGGCCGCCAGCAGCGGAGCGCGCGCACTTAACAGCTAAGCCACGGGGCCAGCCCATAAAGCTGGCAATTTTGAATTATCTGTAAAAACAAAACTCAAGTCCCCAAGTGATAACAAAAACATCTAACATTTGAAACCTCACTGGGTACCAGGTACCATGTAAACATTTTACCAGAATTCTCTCAATGAATTCTCACAATGGCCCTATGAATAGGTACTATTATTATTCCTGTTTTATGGATGCAGACACTGAGACTCAGAGAGGTTAAATAACTTCACAGAACCAGGACTAACCCATATGTGCCCTTGTCACTATGTCTTAGGCCCTCAATGAACAAGATAGCCAGAGACCGATTTTTAAGAGGTCTAAGGAAGGTCTATGTTTCCCGTCAAACCTCAGGTTCCAAAAGCCTCAAAGGAAAGGGAGTGTGGGGCTGAGGCTGCCAGCAGGGTCCCAGGTGCAGCTTTCACAACCACCCTAGGAGCAAATTAGGCATCTGGACAAATTCTTTTTTTTTTTTTTTGTGAGGAAGATCGGCCCTGAGCTAACATCCGATGCCAATCCTCCTCTTTTTGCTGAGGAAGATTGGCCCTGGGCTAACATCTGTGCCCATCTTCCTTTACTTTATATGGGATGCCGCCACAGCATGGCTTGACAAGCGGTGCATTGGTGCGCACCCAGGATCTGAACCTGCGAACCCCAGGGCTGCTGAAGTGGAGCACGCGCACTTAACCAGTGCCACCAGGCCGGCCCCTGGATGAATTCTAAACATGATTCTTAAAGCAAAGCACTAGGAGAAAAAAGTAGGTTTGAATGGCTTGTCATTGATAAAACAGAGCAACTCTATTCTATAAACGTAGTTTAGTAGTTTCCATGTATGTTAGACTGGAGTCAGGAGCCCAAGACCTCATTCTCGCTGTCGGTGCTGTATTCTTAAGCAGGTTAATTTACCTTTTTGGTCTTTATTCACTTAAATACTGCCTTTTTTTTTTCCTTTTTTTTTGGTGAGGAAGATTGGCCCCGAGCTAACATCTGTTGCCAATCCCCCTCTTTTTGCTGAGGAAGATTAGCCCTGAGCTAACATCTGTGCCATTCTCCTCTATTTCATATGTGGGACACCACCACAGCATGGCTTGATGAGCGGTGCAGAGGTCTGCACCGGGATTCGAACGTGCGAACCCCGGGCCACCAAAGCGGAGCATGTGAACTTAACCACTGTGCCACCGGGCCAGCCCCAAATCCTGCCTCTTTCTGAAAAAGATTTGAGGTAGCAATTTCGGGCCTCCCAGATGAAACTATATCCATTGGATCTGAGCAGTAAGGGAGCTGTGGAGATCAGCAGTTCAGTGGTCTCTGGCTGCACCGAGATTAGAAATACTCCTGCTTGGGCCCATCCCCAGAAATTCTGATTTAATGGGTATGTCGTAGGGCCTCGAAAGGGGTGATTCTAACATGCCAGCTTCAGATCTAGTCTAATCCCTTATCTTCTGAGGAGAGAGAGGGAAAGGAAGAGCATTTGAGGAAGAATAACGCCCCTCATATTGCAGAAGAGAAAATGCAAGGCCAAAGGACAAAGTAATTTGCTCTGGCTCATATACCCAGTTGGTGACCCCAGGACTCCTGCTGTTTAGTAACTGTGCTGTCTTTGGCTCTCCATAAACTTTCTTCCCACCTCAAGTATGTCATTATAAGGGTGAATCAAATCATCCACATGACACAGCTTCCAGGCAAAGCCCTTATAATTTAAGGTACGACAATTAGGTAGCTCATCTCTCTGGTTTTTTATTTGTTTCTAAGACAGTTAAGTAGGTTGTTTACGTTTTCATCATTTCTCAGCCTCTCACAGACAAAAAAGACATATGTGTCAAGTAAAAGGAAGGAGACTGGGGAAGACTGCTACAAAATGTTCTGGGCCTGGGTGTTTATGGCTTAAGACCTCCGCTGCCATCTCTAATCACCAACACTTCCTTACCTCGTCTTCAAACTCCTCTTCCACAGCAAACAGCTTCTGCAAACTGCATGCCTGAAAGGAAAACAAAGCAATTGAGGCTGGAGGAGAAATACCGTTTGCAAGTACATTCTGTCCTCACTGTGTTTTTTTTCCCAATTCTAACAAAACCATCAGGTGTACAGTTTTTTGCTAGTGTTGGGGAGGAATAAGGGATGAGGAGAGAAGAGATGAGATTTACTTAAAGACTTAGATGATTTAGAATCCTTTCTTGTAAAATAATCCTCTCAGGTCCATCAGCATTAATCTTGGAAGAGGGGGGAGAAGGCAAACGGAAGGCTGCCAAAGGGAGCATAGGTCATTCTTTAGACTCAGCAGTGTGCACATGGGCCTAAGGATTTTGCAACATCCCAAAGGTTTGGCCTGAGGAAGCTTTGTCAAACATATGAGACACTACCACAAATCCAAGCATGCCCCAGCACAGTGGCCTTGTTTCTGAAAGCCAAGCCAGCAGTTTCCTTCTGTCTAATCCAACGCCCAAAGGCTAGGATCCGGGAGGGTGGGATGCCCCAGTCCACAATTCCTTCTTTCTAGGCAGCAGGGCTGCTGTGGCCAGCTCTTAGATGTGTCAAACGCAGAGCCAGGGGCTGTGCCTAACCCCAGATGCCAAAGCAGCAAGAGCTACAGTTAGGGATACCTACCCCCAAGTGTCCCCGGATCAGAGTGGACGGGTTGGGGAGAGGGGGTCGGGTTCAGGAGGCATGACGTTAGGCGCACGGGGAAGGATGAACAGGAGTTCGCCAAGAGGGGATGGAAGGCAACAGGAGGGAAACTGAGGCCCAGAAGAAAGTGAGAGGAGAGAGCCTTCCCAGGGTCTCCGGGGCGTCCATGCTAGAGCCCAGGTCTCCCGACCCCACCGAGCTCTCACCAAAACCTAACCCTAACACGGCCCGGGCCCTGCAGCTCGCACGTGAGGGGCTGGAACCCGGAGGGCAGTTCCCGCGGCCGGGGGACCAGGCGGCCCGGAGGCCCGAGCGCGGCATTACCATGGCGACGGCGGGCGTGGGCCGGCCCGGCAGGCCCCCACTCCAGGGGTCGCCGGGGCCTCGGACTTGGCCGGGGGAGGGTCGGAGTCCGGGCGACGGTATCTCTGGGGCAAAGTCGGAGAGGTCTCTGCGACCCAGGCAGGGGCCGCGGGAGGGTCGCCGGGAAGCTGGAGGCCGCCGCCCTAGACCGCATTCGAAGCCGCCGCCACTCCAGCGTCTCCGCCCTCTTAAAGGGGCGGGCCTATTTCTATCCCGCCGACACAAAGATCCTCCGTCCTCCAGTCTTCCGCCCCGGCCTTAAAGGGAACTGGATGAGCTCTCGGTCGCCCCCCAGCGGCCCCTCGGGCCCAGTCGGCTGGTTTAACACGCATTCAGGTGAGAGCAAGGCTGGGAATGTTGGGCCAGTTATGCCCAATCCCTCCCACCCTGCTTTCTTCCGTTAAGCACGCTAGGGACTGAGTACTAGATCGTGACTCTCGTTCACACCAGAATCCACCCTGTTGGTTGTCTGTCCATCTATCCATCCATCTATTCTTTTTTATTTATTTTTTTTATTTTTTTCCCCCAAAGCCCCAGTAGACAGTTGTATGTCATAGCTGCACATCCTTCTAGTTGCTGTACGTGGGACACGGCCTCAGCATGGCTGGAGAAGCAGTGCGTTGGTGCGCCCCCAGGATCTGAACCCCGGCTGCCAGCAGCAGAGCGCGAGAACTTAACCGCTAAGCCACGGGGCCGCGCCCCCCCCCCAGGGGCCGCGCCCCCCCATCTATTCTTACAGCACATATTTATTAACATCCCTCCTCTATCACAACACTCTATTTCCTTCTCAGCATTTTTCATAATTTATAATTGTCATGGTTTACATCTTAATTATGTGTCGTCCTCACTCAAATATGAGCTCCATGAGGGCAGGGGCCTTGTCTGGCTTGTTTAACTTTGTATCCCCAGCACTTAGCACAATGCTCAATAGAGTTATTGAATGACACAATGACTACTCTGTATTGGGATAGAGAAATGAATAAGACTCCTTGTGCCCTCAAGTTCAGGAACAAGTTAGGGAGATACAGATCAAAAGATAGAATCCAGGAGAGTTGTGCAGAGATAGGCAGGGGCCCAATTTTCATCACTAAAGCCTGCTGTGGTTACTGACCCTCAGTCTGACCTCAGTTTCCCTTTTTGCTTGTCAAGCGAGAGCTAGCTGGAGTGACAGCTAGGGTTGCATAGTTTTAAGGACTCAAAAGGCAGGAGGAAGGTAGCTGACTTGAGTTCTTAATGATCTGATCTGGACCAACCCTAGATCTTTCCCAGGGTGGCCTGGTCTGACCTGACCTCTGGGCAGCCTATGGCTTCCATCACAGCTTTATGTGGACCAGTTAACCTGTCATATGTCAGAATGGAGGCCAGAATAGAGATGGGAAAGGGAACCTGGATGCTTAACTCTCATCCAAGTTAGGAATTCCCTCAAGGCCTCTGTGCTTCTGAGCTGGGGGACAAAACCCCAACCCTCCTATTTACAGGCCTCCTCTCCCCACAGGAATCCCAGGTGCAGCTCATCCTGCCCAGATGTGGATAGTCCTGGAGACCCAGTTACAGGGCTCCCTGTGGCTCTGGACTCTGTCAGCTCCAGCAGAAGGAAGATCACAGACTGCAAAAGGTCAAGAGGAATCATAACAGCTCCTATCCACACTGTAGTTTGCAGCTTCCAATTTTAACTACTAACTCATTTTGTCTTCACAAAGATCCCGTGAAGAGTGAGAGGCAGGTATTACTTTACAAATTAGGAAACTGAGGCTCAGAGGGGGAAGGGACTCCCTCAGGGTCACAGAGTCACTCAGTGGTGGACCTTCTGGGTGGAAATCCTGTGCTTTCTCCTCCATCACCTTTCTAAGTTAAATGAACTTGGCATCTCCTGCCCCCGCCTCCTGTTAGAACCTGGATGGGGGTGGAGACAGTGGCTGGAGCAAATGGAAAACGTCGACCTGGGACATTTTAGAGAGCGGCTGTCAGGACACAGTAAAGAGGCTGTCTGTGATTTGAGAGTTGGGAAGGATGCCCATCCTGAAGGGTTCTCCCCCAAATCAAATGTCTTCTCTTTCCTAACACTGTCATCTGAAGGAAAAGGCAAAGACCGGGTCTCCACAGTGATGGGGCCTAGGTCCACTTATTTTTCCTCTTAGAAGAGGGGTTAGTGGGCTTAACTCTAATAACCAGGCTCGAGGATAATGAAGACTTAGACCAAAAAGGAAGGAGTGCGTTTAGGGAAAGGGAGAAGTGGGTGCTGGGACTTGGGCTGGAGGACCCGTACCAGAAGACGCCAGAACCCCAGCTGTGAAGTGGGTACAAAGGAGAGTGAGTGTAACAAGGAGGTCTTAGAAGCACTCTGATTTAACCCATAAAAATAGCAGCCAGTCCTTCCTGAGCACTTTCTGGGTTCCAGGTAAGGTTCTGGGCACTTCACATGTATCAACTCACTTAATCATTGTAACAAGCTTTGACTTCTGCTTTACAGGGGAGGAAAGGGTCAATGTCTTGCCCAAGTTCACATAGCTAATAGGTGGTGGAACTGGATGATGAAGCAGGCAGTCTGACTCCAGCGTCCACAGGCTTAACTACTATGTTGTTCTGCTGCTTAGAATTCCAAGGAACTGTATTCTTAACCTGGGGCTTCAGGGAATATAAGTCCCCTGTAATTATGTGCAAAACATCATGTGCCTATGCACGTGTGCCTTGTTCTGAGAGAGAATCCATGACTTTCATCACATTTTCATGGGTCAGAAGCCTCTTGCCTTGCTCTTTCTCGGGACCAGGATACACCCTAACCCCTCATTCCCCTCCATCCTTCAACTTGTCCAGATGCCTTACACTCTACATCAGGCCTTACCATCTCCTGCCTGGACTTTGCAGTAGCCTCCTGCATGACCTCCCTGGTTCAAGCTTTCCTTCCTTCTGTCCATCTTTCTAAAATGCAAATTGGATACTATTTTTCCACTGTAAAAATTCTTCAATCCCTCCCGGTCACTAGAGCATGACATACAATATCCCTAGGGCCTGCAATGCCCTGGCATCTGCTTCCCTGCCCTATCTCATCTCTCAACCAACCTCCAGTCAGTACCAATCCCTCTCCACCCCACTCATTCTTCATGCCCCAGGTCACATGCTGCCACCTCTAAGAAGCCTTCCTTAACTGCCCCAGGCAGACCAAGGTGCCCTTCTCCTTGGTTCCCTGCACTTTGGGACTACCTCTGTTATAGCCTGGGTCTCTTCTTTGCCCTGTATTGTCTTCAAGTTTCCCTCATACCTCCCAGCTGGACTTCGAAGTCCCTCAGGGCAATGGCTGTGGCTTTTCACTTTTGTGAACCAGCATTTGGCGCAGAACCTGCCACATGGGAGACACTCAGCAAGCATTTGTTGAATAACTTAATGCCATTTGTCAGGAGGGAGTGGGAATGAGTCTGGGCAGCTCCATGCTCACTTCCGCAGCAAATACTTGCAGTGGCTGGATAAGGAGCCTCATCTTCTTAGGCACAAAGGAGAGCACACATGGAGTCTGTGTGTGTGTGTGTGTGTGTGTGTTTGGAGATAGCGTGCTGCATTGGTTGTGGAGTTAGACAAATCTTAATTTTTAATTTTTTTTTTGTGTGTGAGGAAGATCAGCCCTGAGCTAACATCCATGCTAATCCTCCTCTTTTTGCTGAGGAAGACCAGCTCTGAGCTAACATCTATTGCCAATCCTCCTCCTTTTTTCCCCCAAAGCCCAGTAGATAGTTGTATGTCATAGTTGCACATCCTTCTAGTTGCTGTATGTGGGACGCAGCCTCAGCATGGCCGAAGAAGCAGTGCGTCAGTGCGCGCCCGGGGTTCCGAACCCGGGCCGCCAGCAGCGGAATGCGCGCACTTAACCGCTAAACCACCAGGCCAGCCCCAGACAAATCTTGGTTCATATTTGACCCTGCTGCTAACTGGCTGTGTGATCTTGAGTAACTTAATTTACCTCTCTGAACCTTAGTTGTCTCATCTATGAAAATGGAATACTACATCTTCCTCACAGGGTTGCTGTGAGATTAAATGAATTAATGCATTGAAATCGCTAACTCCATGCCTGGCACGCTGGCGGGACCTCAACAATGTGGGTTCCCTTCTCCCCTACTTGAGTTTGCAAACATGTGCTGAGATTTATTGTGGGAACCACATGGCTTGAATTTGTATCTCTTCCAGCATATTTCCAAATGCATTTTGCCCTAATTTGTATTTTTATCATATGAACAGTTGTATGCAAATCAGTGTGAGGATGCCTGTGTTTACATGTTTATATTTACATTTGCCTTGGTATGGACAGTGGCATACACCGGAAGTGTCTACATACACTGAGAGTGTTGTGTGGCTGTGTTGGTGGGTGGGTGTCTCACGTTGAGTGAGTATGTGGAATTAAACGTGTGTTGTGTGCTGCATACGAGGGTGGGGTCTGGGTTTACGGGGGTGGGGGAGGGCTGGTCTGTTTGTGTGACTTTGTGAGTGTGAAGGCTGTGTAGACCAGCACTATGGGATAGAACTTTCTGTATGGATGGAAATATTTTCTATCCGTACTGTGCAGTAGAGTAGCCACTAGCCACATGTGTCTATGGAGCACTGAAACGTGGCTAGTAAGACTGAGGAACAGAAGTTATAAGTGTATTCAATTTCAGTTAATTTAAATGTAAATAGCCACAGGTAGACCATAGACAGAAACCTCAAACTTGTTCTCCACAGATCAAGTGGTGTGCATCCCCCACTCTCTTACTACTGAAACCCATCTATCGCATCCCAAGTCCCAACCCCAGCAGGTAGAGGGACCCTCTGGAGCCCCGCCCTCGCGTGTATGCGCGCGAGAGACGTACGGAGGGGGCTGCTGCCGCTTCCCCACCCAACCCCCCAAGTCCCCAGGCAAGCAGTGAATCAGCCTGACAATGAGGTGAGTCATTCATGAACTGCTCGGGGCCGACCCAGCAGGCGGGAAGCAAACGTCAGCCAGCCACCCAGCCCTACCCCCCCAGCACCCTAGTGGGATCGCTCAACCCCACGCACTGCAGATGTTGAAGAAACTGACGCGGACGAATGGAGGCACCAAATCTCATCTCCTCAGCCCCTCCCTCTTGTTTGCAAT